CCAGGTCCAGAGTCTCTCATGGGTCCCTGTACGGCCTCCCATTGCTGCTGTCTCTCCATCGCCACACTCTGCCATGTGCCACTTTCAGGTCTCCTCACACACTGCTGGTGTGTTCCATTTTTTGTCATAGGGTGCTGGCAGATTACGGGCCTCCCATTAGCTGCTGCCAGGCCCCTAATCTGCCATGGGCCCCTATACCGCCTCCTCATGCTGCTGCCAGGTCCAGAGTCTCTCATGGGTCCCTGTACGGCCTCCCATTGCTGCTGTCTCCATCGCCACACTCTGCCATGTGCCACTTTCAGGTCTCCTCACACACTGCTGGTGTGTTCCATTTTTTGTCATAGGGTGCTGGCAGATTACGGCCTCCCATAGCTGCTGCCAGGCCCCTAATCTGCCATGGGCCCCTATACCGCCTCCTCATGCTGCTGCCAGGTCCAGAGTCTCTCATGGGTCCCTGTACGGCCTCCCATTGCTGCTGTCTCCATCGCCACACTCTGCCATGTGCCACTTTCAGGTCTCCTCACACTGCTGGTGTGTATTTTTTGTCATAGGGTGCTGGCAGATTACGGGCCTCCCATAGCTGCTGCCAGGCCCCTAATCTGCCATGGGCCCCTCATGTACCAGTCCAGCCTCCTCATGCTGCCCTGTAGGTCCACAGTGTCTCATCATGCCATGTGTCACTTTCAGGTCTCCTCACACTGCTGGTGTGTTCCCATTTTTTGTCATAGGGTGCTGGCAGATTACGGGCCTCCCATAGCTGCTGCCAGGCCCCCTAATCTGCCATGGGCCCCTGTACCGCCCCTCCTGCTGCCAGGTCCAGAGTCTCTCATGGGTCCCTGTACGGCCTCCCATTGCTGCTGTCTCCATCGCCACACTCTGCCATGTGCCACTTTCAGGTCTCCTCACACTGCTGGTGTGTTCCATTTTTTGTCATAGGGTGCTGGCAGATTACGGGCCTCCCATAGCTGCTGCCAGGCCCCTAATCTGCCATGGGCCCCTATACCGCTCCTCATGCTGCTGCCAGGTCCAGAGTCTCTCATGGGTCCCTGTACGGCCTCCCATTGCTGCTGCTCCATCGCCACACTCTGCCATGTGCCACTTTCAGGTCTCCTCACACTGCTGGTGTGTTTCCATTTTTTGTCATAGGGTGCTGGCAGATTACGGGCCTCCCATAGCTGCTGCCAGGCCCCTAATCTGCCATGGGCCCCCTATATACCGCCTCCTCATGCTGCTGCCAGGTCCAGAGTCTCTCATGGGTCCCTGTACGGCCTCCCCATTGCTGCTGTCTCCATCGCCACACTCTGCCATGTGCCACTTTCAGGTCTCCTCACACTGCTGGTGTGTTCCATTTTTTTTGTCATAGGGTGCTGGCAGATTACGGGCCTCCCATAGCTGCTGCCAGGCCCCTAATCTGCCATGGGCCCCTATACCGCCTCCTCATGCTGCTGCCAGGTCAGGTCCAGAGTCTCTCATGGGTCCCTGTACGGCCTCCCATTGCTGCTGTCTCCATCGCCACACTCTGCCATGTGCCACTTTCAGGTCTCCTCACACTGCTGGTGGTTCCATTTTTTGTCATAGGGTGCTGGCAGATTACGGGCCTCCCATAGCTGCTGCCAGGCCCCTAATCTGCCATGGGCCCCTATACCGCCTCCTCATGCTGCTGCCAGGTCCAGAGTCTCTCATGGGTCCCTGTACGGCCTCCCATTGCTGCTGTCTCCATCGCCACACTCTGCCATGTGCCACTTTCAGGTCTCCTCACACTGCTGGTGTGTTTTCATTTTTTGTCATAGGGTGCTGGCAGATTACGGGCCTCCCATAGCTGCTGCCAGGCCCCTAATCTGCCATGGGCCCCTATACCGCCTCCTCATGCTGCTGCCAGGTCCCAGAGTCTCTCATGGGTCCCTGTACGGCCTCCCATTGCTGCTGTCTCCATCGCCACACTCTGCCATGTGCCACTTTCAGGTCTCCTCACACACTGCTGGTGTGTTCCATTTTTTTGTCATAGGGTGCTGGCAGATTACGGGCCTCCCATAGCTGCTGCCAGGCCCCTAATCTGCCATGGGCCCCTATACCGCCTCCTCATGCTGCTGCCAGGTCCAGAGTCTCTCATGGGTCCCTGTACGGCCTCCCATTGCTGCTGTCTCCATCGCCACACACTCTGCCATGTGCCACTTTCAGGTCTCCTCACACTGCTGGTGTGTTCAATTTTTTGTCATAGGGTGCTGGCAGATTACGGGCCTCCCATAGCTGCTGCCAGGCCCCTAATCTGCCATGGGCCCCTATACCGCCTCCTCATGCTGCTGCCAGGTCCAGAGTCTCTCATGGGTCCCTGTACGGCCTCCCATTGCTGCTGTCTCCATCGCCACACTCTGCCATGTGCCACTTTCAGGTCTCCTCACACACTGCTGGTGTGTTTCATTTTTTGTCATAGGGTGCTGGCAGATTACGGGCCTCCCATAGCTGCTGCCAGGCCCCTAATCTGCCATGGGCCCCTATACCGCCTCCTCATGCTGCTGCCAGGTCCACAGAGTCTCTCATGGGTCCCTGTACGGCCTCCCATTGCTGCTGCTGTCTCCATCGCCACACTCTGCCATGTGCCACTTTCAGGTCTCCTCACACTGCTGGTGTGTTCCATTTTTTGTCATAGGGTGCTGGCAGATTACGGGCCTCCCATAGCTGCTGCCAGGCCCCTAATCTGCCATGGGCCCCTATACCGCCTCCTCATGCATGCTGCTGCCAGGTCCAGAGTCTGTCATGGGTCCCTGTACGGCCTCATGCTGCCATTGCTGCTGTCTCCATCGCCACACTCTGCCATGTGCCACTTTCAGGTCTCCTCACACACTGCTGGTGTGTTCCATTTTTTGTCATAGGGTGCTGGCAGATTACGGGCCTCCCATTGCTGCTGCCAGGCCCCTAATCTGCCATGGGCCCCTATACCGCCTCCTCATGCTGCTGCCAGGTCCAGAGTCTCTCATGGGTCCCTGTACGGCCTCCCATTGCTGCTGTCTGCTGTCCTCATCGCCACACTCTGCCATGTGCCACTTTTTCAGGTCTCCTCACACTGCTGGTGTGTGTTCCATTTTTTTGTCATAGGGTGCTGGCAGATTACGGGCCTCCCATTGCTGCTGCCAGGCCCGTAATAATCTGCCATGGGCCCCCGTACCGACTCCTCATGCTGTGACGTTGCAACAAGGTGGAATTCAACCCTACATATGTTAGACCGCCTTTACGAACAGCAAAGGCCATCACAGATTTCCTGATGTTACAAGCGGATAAAGGTACTCCCTGTGTAACTTAGATGTCAGCCATTGGCAGCTCATGCGTGACACCTGCGCTTGCTCAGAGCCCTTTGAGGAGGCCACGCTATTCGTGAGTCGGCAGGACTATGGGATGAACGACGTCATTCCTCTGTTGCACGTCCTGGAACAAATGCTGTTAACAATGGCTGGTCAGGGTGCGGTAGACGTGGCGCACAGATCTCAACGCCACATGACCCCTGTGGGGGCAGGACAGGAAGAAAGAGGAGGAGGTAGAGGAGGACATTGGTGCTCAGGAATTATTGAGTGAAATGGGTGGTTTTTTTGTTTCCACTCAGCGGACAGGAGTGGAGGAGCAGGAGCATCTGGTAGAGGAGGAGGAGAGGAGACAGAGGACCCAGACGCACCGTGGCAGTATGCTGTGGAGATGGAGGCAGGGAGTCCCATCGCATTCCTTGGCACAAATGGCCCATAGCATGCTCGGGTGTTGCTTGCGTAGCGACAGCCGAATAATAACCATCAGACAGAGGGATGACTTTTGGCTGTCCACCTTGTTGGACCCTCGCTACCGTTCAAAAATGGTGGCCTTTTTCACACCTGCTGAGAGGGAGGCCAAAATAACGTACTATAAAAACCACCTATGTAGTCAGTTGGTCTCTGCCTTTCTGCGCCAACACGTCCATCCTCAGACACTGTGGGCCCTGTGCGCTCGCGTTCCCCTGCCATGGGCAGCAGGGGAGGGGTGTGGGTGGGTGGTAGGAGCAGTGGCAGCTCCACCAGCAGCGGCTGCCTCAGTCTGCAGTCGATGATGAGTAGCTTTCTTCACCAGCGCAGTGAGGAAACTACTAACCAGCCGCAGCAGCAGCAGCATCAGGTGGACCTGGAGCAGGACCTCAAACAACAGGCTTAGGCCTACTTGGACAGCACCCTGCCAACCAGGTAGTCCCCCTTGAGGTAGACAATCCCCTTGACTACTGGCCAACGAAACTTGACTGCTTTGGCCCCAACTAGCTGCCATTTGCCCTTGAAAGGCTGTCATGCCCGGCCAGTAGCGTGGCATCGTTCGCGTGTTTTTAGTCGGCAGGAGGTATTGCTCCGCGATTACGGACACGACTGTCCACCCAAAGTGTGCCAGAGACTCACGTTTGTGAAATGGGCCCAGGCTGGATTACCCCCCCGTCCTGGATTTCAAACCACCCAGTTCCTGACACAACTGACTAAATTGCTGCCATGAATCATGCCCCAAACATGTGCCACTTTCAGGTCTCCTCACACTGCTGGTGTGTTCCATTTTTTTTGTCATAGGGTGCTGGCAGATTACGGGCCTCCCATAGCTGCTGCCAGGCCCCTAATCTGCCATGGGCCCCTGTACCGCCTCGCCTCCTCATGCTGCTGCCCAGGTCCAGAGTCTCTCATGGGTCCCTGTACGGCCTCCCATTTGCTGCTGTCTCCATCGCCACACTCTGCCATGTGCCACTTTCAGGTCTCCTCACACACTGCTGGTGTGTTCCATTTTTTGTCATAGGGTGCTGGCAGATTACGGGCCTCCCATACTGCTGCCAGGCCCCTAATCTGCCCATGGGCCCCTGTACCGCCTCCCTCATGCTGCTGCCATGTCCACAGGACGTCCATGCCATGTGCCACTTTCAGGTCTCCTCACACTGCTGGTGTGTTCCATTTTTTGTCATAGGGTGCTGGCAGATTACGGGCCTCCCATAGCTGCTGCCAGGCCCCTAATCTGCCATGGGCCCCTGTACCGCCTCCTCATGCTGCTGCCAGGTGCCATGGTCCACATTGTGTCTCCATCACTCTGCCATGTGCCACTTTCAGGTCTCCTCACACACACTGCTGGTGTGTTCCATTTTTTGTCATAGGGTGCTGGCAGATTACGGGCCTCCCATTGCTGCTGCCAGGCCCGTAATCTGCCATGGGCCCCTGTACCCGCCTCCTCATGCTGCTGCCAGGTCCAGAGTCTCTCATGGTCCCTGTACGCCTCCTCCCATTGCTGCTGTCTCCATCGCCACACACTGCCATGTGCCACTTTCAGGTCTCCTCACACTGCTGGTGTGTTCCATTTTTTGTCATAGGGTGCTGGCAGATTACGGGCCTCCCATAGCTGCTGCCAGGCCCCTAATCTGCCATGGGCCCCTGTACCCCGCCTCCTCATGCTGCTGCCAGGTCCACCGATAACTCTCATCTCCATGGCCATGTGCCACTTTCAGGTCTCCTCACACACTGCTGGTGTGTTCCATTTTTTGTCATAGGGTGCTGGCAGCTTTATTACGGGCCTACGGCCTCCTCCCATAGCTGCTGCCAAGGCCCCTAATCTCCTCCATGGCCCCTGTACTCCCATGCATTGCTGTCCAACATCATGCTGCACCTGTCATGGGCCTCCACAGTGTCTCCATGCCATGTGTGCCACTTTCAGGTCTCCTCTCACACTGCTGGTGTGATGAAATTTTTTTTTTGTCATAGGGTGCTGGCAGATTACGGGCCTCCCATTGCTGCTGCCAGGCCCCAATCTGCCATGGCCCCTATATTTTCGGGGGTGCCCATCCGCATCCCTCATGCTGCTGCCAGGTCCAGAGTGTCTCATGGGTCCCTGTACGGCCTCCCCATTGCTGCTGTCTCCATCGCCACACTCTGCCATGTGCCACTTTCAGGTCTCCTCACACACTGCTGGTGTGTTTTCATTTTTTTGTCATAGGGTGCTGGCAGATTACGGGCCTCCCATAGCTGCTGCCAGGCCCCTAATCTGCCATGGGCCCCTAAATATACCCACAGTGCCTGCCAATATCATGCTGAGCGGTCCACAGTGAATCTCATGTTCCTAGTTGCCCATTGCACTGCTTCTCCAGGCCACACTCTGCGCATGTGCCACTTTCAGGTCTCCAGACTGCTGTGTGGCCCGAATTTTTTTGACATAGGGTGCTTGGCAATTACGGGTTCCCATAGGCAGCTGCCCAGGCCACATTGTCTGGCCATGGGAGGGGTACCCCAGCCTCAACTCATGCTGCTGGGGAGAGGTGGTCACAGGGTCTTTGATGTGACACAGTTTTCATGGGAACTTTGTTATGAGGAGGTATTTGCTGCTGTTTACTGCCCGCGCCATCTCTCCATGATGCCTGTGGCCACCCCTTTGTTTTGAAGTGTGGAGATGCCACGACATAGAAGATGGAGCGGGCTGGGTTATCTGCAATTACAGGACTGGCCACGAATTCTTTTATGCAATGGGTAAACCACTGGCCCTGACACAACCCTAAATAGCCGACCTGTAACCCCCTAACCATGTGCCCTTCAGGGTCGACCCCATTACAACATGTGCTGTGTGTCACATTTTTAAATGGGGTTGGGGGTGTAGGGGGGTATGCGCAGGTCTTACCAACAGGGGGCTAGTATGGGGTATTCTGACTGGATCATCTGGCAGGGGTCACTAGAGTACTGTGTATGGGTATTATAGAACGGACACCCTGTCTTCATGGCTGTCTGGATCACACCAACACTCTGGAGATCATTGTGCTTTGGAAGGGGGGGGGGCCAGGGGATCGGGGGGCATCGAACGTTGGCTGGGTGGTTGGGGGCTGGTCAGTGGCTGGTCAGTTTATTTGCTGGGTAGGACGTGGGGTTGTAACAGGTAGCTACAGGGCCGTTACCTATGACTGCCACTTTGACATCTGGCAGGATCCAGTGTGACTGGGAGCAGTACTTGCTGGGCTGTACAGGGGTGGTAGATGAGGTAATTGCTCGATGTTCATTCCTTGCGACTGGCAGGACCATAGTGAATATCAGGTCTGTTTTGGGGGAGTGTGGTGAGACAATTTTTTTTAGGATGTGGTTAGTTCCATTAAGTGGGGGATTTCTGAGGGCTTTGTGTAGGGGAGGTGGTGTTGGTGGGACAGCGCAGGTACCTCTCAGAATGGTACTAGGTACCATCGCATTTCTATGCGTGAATGGCCCAATAAGCCATAGGGGGGGGTTTTATGGTGGGCATGCAGGCCTAGCTCGAATTCTAGCTGTTTTCGGGGGTTCATTCACAGAGGCATTCAGGGGGAGGAAGGTGATAGCTAAAATGGGGGGGGGGGGTTTGTTTGGGTGGTGGTAAATGGGAATGGGAATACTTTGGGTGCATGGGGGGGGGTGGTAGCAGTATAGTGAAGAGGTTTACAGTCGTGTGGTGTGTGTAAATGGCTGCGGGTTACCTCTTTGAGGTGGTGGGCTCATGTTTTGTGGGGTGGGCAGGGGTGGTAGGGTGGGGGGGGGGGCGGGGCTTATGTTACAGGGGGGAGGGGGGTGGGGTATTGGGGTGTAGGGGGGGGGGGGGGGGGTGTGAGTGATGGGGGGGGCGTTGTGGGATTAACCACGGGTTAGGGATTGGTTTTGGGGGGGGGTTAGGGGGGGTGGGGTGGTTGGGGGTTTTTTTTTTGTTGGGGGTTTTTCAGGTACGGGGGGTGGGGTGGGTTTGTTGTGGGGGGTGTGGGGGGGGGGGGGGGGTTTTGGTTTGGGGGGGGGGGGGGGGGGGGGTTTTTTGTTTTTTTGGGTTTTTTTGGGGGGGGGGGGGGGGGTTTGGGGTTGGGGGGGGGGTTTGGGGGGGGGGGTGGGGGGGTGTTTTTTTTGTTTTTGGGTGGGGGGGTTTTTTGGTGGGGGGTGGGGTGGGTTTTTGGGGGTTTTTTTGTTTGTTGGGGGTTTGGGGGGTGGGGGGGGGGGGGGGGGTTGGTTTTTGGGGGTGGGGGGGGTTTTTTTTGTGGTTTTTTGGGGGGGGGGGGGGGGGTTGTTTTTTGGGTTTTTGTTGGGGGAAGGGGGGGGGGGTTTTGGGGGGGGGGGGGGGTTTTGGGGGGGTGTGGGGGGGGGGGGTTTTGGGGGGGGGGGGGGGGTTTGTGGGGTTTGGGGGGGGGGGTTGGGGGTTTGGGGGGTTTTGTTGGTTGGGGGGGGGGGGGGGGGGGGGGGGGGGGGGTTGGGTTTTTTGGGGGGGGGTTTGGTTTTTTGGGGTTTTGGGTAGGGGTTTTGGGGGGGGGGGGGGGGGGGGGGGGGGGGGGGGGTTTGGGGTTGGGTGTGGGGGGGGGGGGGGGGGGGGGGGTTTTTTTTTTTTGGGGGGGTTGGGTGGGGGGGTGGGGTGGGGTTGGTGGGGGGGGGTGGGGGGGTTTGGGTTGGGGTGGGGGGGTTTGGGGGGGGGGGGGGGGGGGGGGTTGGGGGGGTGGTTTTTTGGGGGGTTGGGGTGGGGGGGGGGGGGGGGGGGGGGGGGGGTTGGGGGGGGGTTTGTTGGGGGGGGGGGGGGGGGGGGGTGTGGGGGGGGGGGGGGGGGGGGGGGGGGGGGGGGGGGGGGGGGGGGGGTTGGGGGGGGTGTGGGGGGGGGTGGGGGTGGGGGGGTGGGGGGGGGGGGGGGGGGGAGTCTTTCTTGGAATCCGTTTTCCAAGAGACAACAGTTTGTGAGCACACGCACCCGACGGTGCAGAAGCTGAAGGTCCTCCTGTCCAAGTTGCTGCTGACAGGCTCGTAATCTGTCATGCGCCCCTGTACGCCTCCTCATGCTGCTGCCAGGTCCAGAGTGTGTCATGGGCCCCCGTACCGACTCCTCATGCTGCTTCCAGGCCCGTAATCTGTCATGGGCCCCTGTACCGCCTCCTCATGCTGCTGCCAGGTCCAGAGTGTGTCATGGGTCCCTGTACGGCCTCCCATTGCTGCTGCCGAGGCCCGTAATCTGCCATGGGCCCCCGTACTAACTCCTCATGCTGCTGCCAGGCCCGTAATCTGTCATGGGCCCCTGTACCACCTCCTCATTGCTGCTGCCAGGTCCAGAGTGTGTCATGGGTCCCTGTACGGCCTCCCATTGCTGCTGTCTCCATCGCCACACTTTGATGCCATGTGCCACTTTCAGGTCTCCTCACACTGCTGGTGGTTTCATTTTTTGTCATAGGGTGCTGTATGGCCTCCCATTGCTGCTGCCCACCACCGCCACACTGTGGCTCCACACTCTGGTTTTGGCCCCGTGACTGCCCAAATGAGTGAAGTGTGCGGTGATTCTAAGATCGACGGCACTCATCTGCCATGTCATACTGACTGTCAGTATTATTTCTCTTCCCCAGCAGACTCCAAGGGCATTTAAATTAAAGGTACAGTGTTCTGCACTAATATAAAGGCTCTCTGAAGCCTAGAAACACCCTTTTATAAGTTAAATTCGCAGCGAATATATTCGACTCGAATCAAAATTTTTTCACGAATTCGCCGAATCAGTCGAATCGAATTTTTTTTGAATAATTCTCTCATCTCTAGCCCTAACTGTAAATCCTCCTTATTTAGCCTTGCTGTATCAGAGTGTATGACATTGCCAGAACAGTCGTTGTCATCCGGTATCAGGGACCCAAACATCAACAGTAGAAATCCTGGAAGAACCCTCTGCACACTGCTATATACCCTTATTGCAAATGCTGCAAAAAAAAAAAGGAATTTTTAGTTCACACATATTGCGATGCATGTTTAAGCTGGCCAGCTGCATCAAAGTAATCCCTCTATGGCCAGTCCTATTCTGCTCTGCCTACGCAAATGCTACTGTGGACACAATGCAAACATGGGGCAAACAGACACAAAGTGGGGGAGAGCTACTAGGTATTAGTTCTGGTTATTGACCTGCTATGAAACAAAAACAAGATTTTTTTATTGAAACGTTTGCTGGAAAGGGTAAATAGCTGTGTGCAGAGGGTTCTTCCAGGATTTCTAGTGCTAACATGTGGTTACACCCCTTTAGCACCTGATAGATAAATGCATGTACAAGCTATTGGGATTTGAAGCACAGGTATCTCTTGTTTTTTTTTCCCAAGCATCAACAGCTCCATCAAGTTAAATGTTACAAAAGATTCTGTCTGATACAAACATTGATGCTTAGATTAGCAAACTATATAGAGGGGTTAGCAGAGAACTGAATCTTTTCAATGTCAAATTCAATGCAAAAATATGAATTAAGTTGAATCCTATGTTAAACGCTGTATAACAATGTTTTAAAATAATAAATATTTTTCAAATTTGGAGTTGGGCTTTAGGTTTACTTTATAGAGAGTTAAAGTTTTAGGGAGGGTAGATGTGAGGGTTAGGGTTATAGGGAGGGTAAGTGTAAGGGTCAGCATTTAGGGTGCATGGAGGGTTATTAAGTGGCTCTGTTGGGATTACATGGAGGGTTACTGTGTGAGTCAAGGTTGGAGTTGCAAAGAGCGTTATTGGGATGGCCATTGTTGGGATCAAAATGAGAGAAAATGAGTGAAGGTCAAAGTTGGGATTATAAAGATGGAAACTGTGAGCAGTATTTTTGTCTAATTAAGTAAAATTTAAAGGATAAGTTCACCTTTGGGAACATGTTACATGCAGCCCCCCCCCCCCCACCCCCCCTCCTTCTGAGAGATAATATTTGGCCTATGCAAGAGTCATTATTTTCATCCTTTTTTCAAGCCAGCAGTATATGCATTATTGCACATTTATCACTACCTGCAATGAAGAATAATGGACTGCTCCTATCTCTGCCAATTGTATGACACTGTTTCATTTATATTTTCAGTTACTTGTTCATGAAAAACTATACAAGCTATTAATATGAAGCTGAGGTGAACCTGATTGATTCAGTACAATGTTAGCTTATTCTCAGAGTGCAGTCTGAAGTACAAGAATGCCTGAAAATTTAAAGACTTGAACTTGCAAATTGCATATAATTTCTTCCAATTATGATGAACACATATGTTGCATATTAGTCAGTTCTCTTAAATTAGTCATGGCGTAATTTTACTTCTGCCGTTTTCTTGACTTATTTAGAGATAAGCTAAAGAAAGCTCACATATCCATTTAAGTGTTGCATACTCATAAGTCATAAAAATGTTCTTTCATGATGAAGCATTATTATGTAAGAAATGACTGTGTTGAATAATTGCATCACAATTACTGAAAAAGCATAGATGACAATTTTGATTATATGTACTATAAATAGTTATTTCCATTCAAGGAAGCAAAGTATTTTGACTAAAATAGAATCTCCTAAACCACCCCCCACTGATACTCACCTTTGCCACGCTACCCCACCACTCCATTGGTAGACCTAAAAAATATCTAGCCATGGAGAAACAGGTAACCTCCTCCTATATTGCAGTGCTTGAGGCTAGCCAGGCCTAACACTGTCACCAGAGGGGAAGAATAAAAAATGAACCTTGTCTAAGCTTCAGTTGCATCTGATAGAGGGCTAACATGGGAGTTTGGACTCCTACCTCCAATGAAACAGAGTAGCAAGGGAGGGTGAGGAAGGTAAATATCATGGGGTGTGAGTTGTTTTTACAGGATAATTTTACACAGTCTCTTTAAAATTTACACCTAAAGCAGGGGTCTCCAAGTCATTTAGAGGATTGCATTTGGCCCTCTGCTAAAAGCAGGTTCCCTGCAGCACTGTGATCATCTCATAATTATTTGCTAGTTCAGCCAGTGTTCTAGCATCCGATGACTTCCTTACCCTAGCAGGGTCATGTTCCCCTATTGTACAGTCTTTCTTCAAGTCAGTTGGTTGCTAAGACCGCCAACATCCTAGCAACTGCTGATGTGCTTACCATAGCCGGAGGACAGACCTTTGTAGTCCCCAGACACTAATGTAAGAGGGCAATGGCATTGATACAGGGGGGCAGTTGCCCCCCTAGGTTATCCTGTGTGAGTAAAAAGGGGAAGAGGAGAGGGGGCATCTCTGGTGTACGGGGACACTGCTGAAGACACCTGATGGATGGGGACACTAATGGATGGAGAAACCTGATGTACGGGAAAGGTTGTTGTATGGGGACACCTGATGTATGAGAGACTGATGTATAGGGACACCTAATGAATGGGGACACGGATGTATAGGGACACCTGATGTATGGAACACTGATGGGGATACTGATGTATGGGGACACCTGATGTATGAGACACTGAAGGGGACACTGATGTATGGGAACACCTGATGTATGGGGACACTGATGGGGACATTTGATGTATGAGGATACTGATGGGGACACCTGATGTATGTGTAAGCATATACAATGTGTGTATCATAGATATAACTATATATAAAATATGAGTAAATGCACTGTATTCATGTATGTGATCAGGATACTGATATATGGGAACACTGATGGGGACACTGATGTATGGGGATACCTGATGGATGGGGACACTGATGTGATGTATAGGGACACTGATCGGGACACTTGATGCATAGGGACACTAATGGGGACACTGATGGGGACACCTGATGGCCTGATGGCCTGTGTATGGGGGACACCTGATGTATGAGGATACGTGCTGTATCCCCATACAGCATCAGTGTCCCCACACTGATCTTTGAGGACACTGATGTATGGGACACTGATGGGATACTGATGTATGGGGACACCTAATGTATGAGACACTGATGGGGACACTGATATATGGGAACATTGATGCGGACACCTGATGTATGGGAACACCTGATGTATGGGATACTAATGTATGTGAACACTGATGGGGACATTGATGTATGGGGACATTGATGTATGGGGACACTGATGTATGGGGACATATGATGTATGGGGAAACTGATATATTGAGACACCTGGTGTAAGGGATACTGATGTATGGGGACACTGATGTATAAGTACATTGATGTATGGGGCCACTGATGTATAGGGACACCTGATGTATGGGGACACTGATGAATAGGGACAGTGATGTATGGGGATACTGATGTATGCGGACACTGATGGGGACACCTTATTTATGGGGACACTGATGGGAACACCTGATGTATGGTATGTTGATGTATATGGACACTGATGTATGGGGACACTGATGTATAGGTACATTGGTATATGGGGACAGTGATGTACAGTATGGGAAAACTGATGTATGAGGAAACTGATGTATGGGGACATCTGATGTATGCAGACACTGATGTATGTGGACACTGATGTATAGCATATTGATGTATGGGAACACTGATCTATGGGAACACTGGTGGGGACACTGATGTATGGAGAAACTGATGGGGACACATGTATGGGGACATCTGATGGATGCGGACACTGCTGTATAGGGACACTGATGGGGACACCTGATATATGGGGACACTGATAGGCACACTGATGTATGAGTAAACCTGATAGATGGGGACACCTTATGCATAGGGACACTGATGTATGGAGACACCTGTTGTATGGGGACACTGATAGGAGCACTGATGTATAGATACACCTGATGTATGGGGACACTGATGGGGACACCTCATGGATGGGAATACCTGATGAAAGGGGACACTGATGTTTGACATGCTGGGACACTGATGTATGGGTTACTGATGTATGGGGACACTGATATATTGAATACTGATGTATGGGGACACTGATGTATAGGAACACAGATGGGGACACCTGATATATGGGGACACTGATGTATGGTTCACTGATGTAAAGGGACACTTGATGTATGGGGAAACTGATGGGGACACCAAATGCATGGAGACACTGATGTATGGGGCACTGATGTATGGGGAAACTGATGTATGGGAACACCTGATGTATGGGACACTGATGTATGGGAACACCTGATGTATGGGACACTGATGTTGAGGCACTGATGTATAGGAACACCCAATGTATGGAATACTGACGGATGTCAACACTGATGTATGGGGACACCTGATGTAAGGGATACTGATGTATGGAGACACTAATGTATGGGGACACTGATGTACAGGTACATTGATGTATGGGGACACTAATGTATGGGAACACTGATGTATGGGGACACTGATGTATACATAGTTAGTCTGGCTGAAAAAAGACAAAAGTCCATCCAGTTCAACCATTAGAAAAAAAAAAAGTTATAATCTTATACCCACAGTTATTCCTGAGGAAGGCAAAAAACCCAGCAAAAGAATGATTCAATTTGCTCCTGCAGGGGAAAATATTCCTTCCTGTTCCCCCGAGAGGCAATTGGATATTCCCTGGATCAACTTTACCTCTAAATGTTAGTATCCAGTTATATACTGTGTGTCCAAGAAAGAATCCAGGCCTTTTTTAAAGCAATCCACTGAGCTGGCCAGAACCAACTCTTGTCTTGAGGGAGTCTATTCCACTTTTTCACAGCTCTCACTGTGAAGAAA